AATCTGAATCCTTAACTAACTTCCTTAAGTGAGTATCTTTAAGTGCCAAATGTACCTAATTATCAGCTTTAAAAAATGTTTTACATCTTAAAATACAATATTCTGTTTATCCTAGATTGTCTGGGGAACATCTAGTACATTAAAAGGTTTTTGTAGAGCTTCTTAGTGATTTAACTGATATCATCATGCCTGCTAGCAATTTTGCAACATTCTGAAAACACTTTCCATAAATCAAAGCCTTAGCAGCAGGAATAAGCAGATGGCAGGAGACCATATTAAAGAATGTATCAATTATTTTTATTAATGGGATGCTACTGGATCATGATGTATCATAATAGACTAAATGTTTAGCTGTTGTGAAGTATTTTGTCTGTTAGGTATCTCAGATGTTCTTACTGGATGTTACTAGATTGCCTTTTGGTGGCATTTTTGAGGGTCTGGACAGGGAAGTTTCACAAGGGACATGAAAAAGATGTTTTCATTTCAGTCCTTTAATTATATTCATACAATAAACATAAAATGCCCGCAAGTATAAAATGTAATTGTAAAAAGATTGCATATATAGTGCATAATAAAGTACATTCTGTCTGCATACAATGACTTAGAAAACAAGATACTATATGGTTAACAATGAAAAATAGCAATTATTATAAAAATATTCTACAGTCTCATAATAGCAATGTAAATGCCTTTACTTACTTATCTAAGAGACTTAACATAATTTTAAATTACAATAATTTTACATCTTCCATTTATATATACAGTTCTATTAAATTCAGAAAGCATTATAATATCAATGTTCTTATTAAGATTAAGCAACTGAATTATATTTCATTATTTTATTATATAAAGCAACTGTGTTTCTGTTTGTTAAAACTGTTTGCACTTACTGTACCTTTTCATACTATCATGCTGTGCACAATGAAATAATTTAGTTTTATTTTCTTAGTATAGCATCTATATCCATGTCATGAATTAAACAGGATGTTAATATTTCAACTCCCTTTCCTTTTGTGTAATTATCAGTCTGCTGTTTTGTGGATTCTGTAGGAATATGTCCACCAGCTTTGAACAGCTGTTACTGAAAACAAGTAATGCCTTCTCATTTAATACATCTTGACAAAAATAGCCAGCTCTTCTACCCCCTGCCCTGCTTGAGGCCCAGATCTGCAAGACTTCAAGTTCTTTTCTAGGCCCAGAGCCAGAGGCATATTATGCATCTCTTTCATGAGATTTCACTAAACAGATCTCTGCTGGAAATAACTAAAAGTTTTATTTTTCTTGCACCACAATTCTGCCCAATATAACTTGCATGGACAGCAAAGAAATTCTGCCAGACAGAAAATGTCAGGATCTGGCCCTGTAGTTATGAAATCCCTTTCCTCTGCAGAAGTTGGTGGGACTGGGCTTGGCTCTGCCCTAGAGGTCCTCCCAGGTTCACAGCATGGTTTCCAAGCCTGTGGTGGGAGAGGGAGTGTTTAATTCAGAAAGTCTGGGATGTGACTACCAGCACATGCACCTCCTAGATACCTTCAGCAGCATCTCTTAATTCCCAGAATGTCCTAGTCTGGTTTTGCAGTCTGTACCACCATTTAATTTCGAGGGTGAGCCTTTAATCCAGGTTATAATTATTAGTTGAAATACTAATTATGGTGACTTCCTACTAGAGAAAAATGCAATTTTGGTGAAATACCATTGCCATGGTAAACACCTAGGAGGGTTGATGTATTTATTGTTTTGGGCAAGGGAGCTGGGGGTTTTGTGTGCAGGAAGACAGCCTGAATATGTTTAATGATAGATGCAGTACGGTGCCTTGCAAAATGAGCATTGACCATCTTAAGTTTCGCATGCAAGAACAGAGAGAAAAATTCTGGTGCCGTAGACTGAAGCAATTGTCAGAAGAATGAAAATCAACTTTAAAAAATTTAATGGATGCACTATAATGTTTTTTTAGAATAGTGCTTATAAAAGTGATGAAATTCAGGATGTTATTTAAAGTCAGTATAGTTCAGAAGTATGGTCTAACTCACATGTAAAAGTTCAATGGGAAAATCATGTAATACATTCATATTTAATTTCTTTTTCTCCATTATGAGCAATCCACACTGGTGTATTTAAAACTAATGTAGTAGAAACTGCAGTACAAGGACAAATGGCATTTGATATTAACCAAATAACCCTTCCTTTCATCTGCTGAAATGGACAATACTCATACTAGACTAGACATAATATGGGCATAAAGGTTACTTTTAATTCATCATGTTTTATATTCAGATGTCAATATTAGCAATTGTCTTTGACAAAACTATGACAAAGTGCTTCCTCTTTTAATTAACCCAATTAAAATGGCAGTCACTCCTATATCCTGTTATCTTTGGTTAATACTTGTTTGTCTTTCTGATATGCTACAAAAACAAAACAAAAAAAAGTGCAAAAAAACCAGAAAAAAACAAAAAACAAAAACAAAACAAAAAAAACCTCACCCAAAATAAAAAAGCTAAACCAAACCAAACAAACAAATAAGAAGACAAACAAAAACACCAAACCAAAACAAAATAAAATCACCAGAACACGTCTGTTTTCTGTTTTTTTATCTATGAAGTGTGAGTGTATCAAAGCCTCTTCTAATGGTCAGGTCTGTGCTTACACGTCACCTTACATCCAAGTAGTTTGCACAAACTCATAGAAAACTTTGAGATTCCTAAAATTATAAATGTTCTTGTGAAATTGGAAACACCATCATCTTTCATGGCCATCTGTGATTTATCATCCAGCTGCTGATTTTCCAATTATGAAACTCTTGTGACACTGCCAGGGTTGGTCAGGCATGTGCTATGGCCTGGCAGGAGCACAAAGCTCACAAGGACTGCTCGGAGGAGCCAGGTACCAATAATAAAAGAGGCAATGGTAAGAAGCAATTGCTCTGGTTTTGGATAGTATGTTTTTAAAAACTTAAAATGTTCATGCAAAAAGTAATCCCCTGATCTCTTACTATTTCCAAACCTGTGACACTTCTGAAGTGAGACAGGCTCAGTGACAGCAGAATGAATACACATTTTTGAAACATATTTTGAATCATTACAGAATGATGGTGGTTTCAGCTGGGGTAGAGTTAATTTTCTTCACAGTGGCTAGTGTGGGGCTGTATTTTGGATTTGTGCTGGACAGATATGTTTTTGTTGGTGCTGAGCAGGGGTTACACAGAGCCAAGGCCTTTTCTGCTTTTCGTACTGACACACTGGCAAGGAAGCTGGGGGTGCATGGGAGGCTGGGAGGAGACACAGCCAGGACAGGTGACCCCAACTGACCAAGGGATATTGCACACCATATCAAATCATGCTCAGTATATAAAGTGAGGAGGAGGAGAAAGGGGGGATGTTTGGAGTGATGGCATTTGACATCCCAAGTCACCATTACGTGTGATGGGGCTCTACTCTCCTGGAGATGGTGGAACACCTGCCTGCCCATAGGAAGCAGTGACCTAATTCCTTGTTTTGCCTCACTTGTGTGCATGGCTTTTGCTTTTCCTATTAAACTGTCTTTACCTCAACCCAAGAGCCTTCCAGATTTTGTCCTTCCAATTCTCTCTCCGGTCACTCTGGCCAGGCAGTGACTGAGTGGCTGCTTGAGGCTTGGTTGCCACCTGGGGTTAATCCATAACTACTCCCTAATGTGATCTTTTGGCTTTGATTGAGGAAGAGCTATGAAGAACTTGTTCCAGTTTATTTTCCTATGTTTTAATATTACAACTGGAATGATTGCACTTAATGTTCTTTAGGAGCGTACATCACTCTCCAGACTTTCACTATGTATAGAAGTGAGTTTTCTGGATGCCCTCTCAAAGTAAGCTGGTTATGAGAGGTAGTGCATCACATCAGTTTCTGAGTATTGCCTTCAGTTTGACAAGTCTTCCTTTCAAGCTTTTCTGCAGGGAGTCCAAAGGCAAATATGAAATTAAATTCTTGATGTTTAGAGTTCATGCAATGGGAATCTTGTAATTTCCCTCTGCTTCCAAATGGATCAAAAGCACATGTACAGATAGAGTCCCTTTGCAAAAACCTCATTGTGCTGCCAAAGGACACTGAAAGTGTCATCCAGCAGCCCAGTATTGTATCTGAAATCCAATTTCTTCCATATAAAAAAGGACACAGTTTGAATATTCTTGGAATAAATAGCTGACATAGCACTGTCACAAGTAGTGCTTGTTTTAAATTGTGCTAAGTGTAACGTGGAGTGTCTGCGCTGTCTTGTATATCCACACAGTCTTTCTGCTGCAATGCTGTGTCTTTTTCTGTCTGAGTTCATTTGAATCACTGTCATTGTGTTAGTTTCCATTTTTCTTCTGTGTCCTTAAAATAGATACTTAAAAGATGTTCTTTTCCTACAAATGAAATTAAAAAAACCTAAAGGCATTCCATAGAAAGCTTAATGGATTTTCTCCTTTTAAAGAGAAGCCCACACAGTTTAAACTTCATGCTTCTGTGAAAGCATTACAATCTGATGTTTTTAGATTTTAAAACCTGTAACATCTCTACAGTTCCCAGCTTAAATAGTTCTTTGTTGCTTCACATTTTGTAGAATTTTTGTTATAAAAAAATAAAGAAATTAGCAAATTACTAAATCTCATACTTGTAGCAGAGAAACATGTGAGCAGATTGAAAAGAGTTTGAATACAGTTTTGCAACATAGGTATTCCTTTAGGGGTAACCATTTTCATAGTACTGATAAAAGTCATGAAGTGATAGTAAAAATATTCCCAGTGAAGAGAGATTTACGCAAATGTTGGCTGTGAACAGAGGGTGAATTTGGGGCAGAGTGATATGGGTTCATGTCCATCTTATTTTCTTCTGAAGTGAGGGCTGATTGAAATCCTTGTCATGTAGTAATTGATTTTTACAGTGTCTCTCCTTATAGGTATTTAAAATAAGAGCAAACACCACGCTTACGTTTAACTAAGTCTTTTAACAAGTGTTTCGAGAAGTATGAGACCCTTTCTGCTTTTATAAATCATCTCCATCATCTGTGCTAAAGCTGCTTCTCCTGCTGCTCTCTTTTGATGCAGCTGGAGATGTGGAGGACAAGAGTGGGTCTGTTCCAAATGGTGACACTGTGTCGTCCAATAAAATTTCCTCTAGTCGTTGTTCTTCTTTTAAAGCTGCGCTGAAGGACAAATCCGTGAAGTGAGAAAGGGGATCAGAAAAGGCTGTAGATCCATCGCAGACATCAGAATTTTGTCCATGTACCAGAGGCATTTGTTGAGAGTAGTCTACAGAGTTCTCCTCTGGATAAGACTGTTGCTTGATGACTTGTGCGGCTAAATCGACAGCACTGAGCGAAGACATGACTGGAAGGCCGTGTGCACGTGCCTGGATCTCCAATTCCTAACATTTCAAACAAAAATAATTAGACAACAATTTTAAAAGAGAAAAGAGTCTCTTCAGAACAATTGCAGAAAGTATACAAATCATGCATGAAAATTTATTATACCTGTTGCCTAGTTGTGAGATTAAATTTTAAAATACTAATTTTTTTATCGAAGAAAATTTGTCAAGTGCTTTTATATTTCTTTTTGTCATTAAGCAACTATTCTAGAGCAGAAGAGGTAGGACAGCCTCTCTAAAACCATTGCACACTGAATCCAATGAAGGTAGCAGCAAAATGTTGCAGCTTGATAGTTCATTATAAAACTGTTGTTTAGAGAAAAAAAAAGATTCTTTACTTGATAATGCTTATATTATACAGATATATAAGTAAATCAACATATGTAAGATGATTGGTTTTATGCTAATCTACCTATCTACCCATCCCATTTCCATAGGTGTCTGTCTATATTAGAATCTTGCTTTTTAAGCCATGAAGGGCTATATTCTACCTCTTAGTGTAAAAAGCAGATATAACATAAAATAGTCTTACAGGGAAGAGTAATGCATTAAATAGTTTGAAAGGGAAAATTAAAATACTGAAGGGAACTTTGTGACCAGTATTGATTTTTGGCTGCAGGAATATGCTTATTTCTTTTTTTTTTTTTTTTTGTCTTTGTTTCTAACACATGCATAATGGAACTGTTTGTACAAATACTTTATTACTTTTCCACTAGTTACTTTATGCAAAGTATAATTATCAAAGAAATTTCCTAGAAATCTAAAGAATACCCCCTCCCCAATATACACAGAAATACAAAGGCAAAGTCAATTTATTTTTAATAAACGTAATTTGAGGAAAAATTATATAGATTAACAAAATTTAATGGGGGATAAGTACTGAGAAAGCTTTGTAGTTCATGGCAACGCTTATACAAACCTGAATTCGGAGCAGAAGTCTTCTGTTAGCATGCTCTAATTTCTTCTGCCTGTGTTCTAATTCTCTGGCTCTCTGTTGTTCTTTTTGTAGCCACTTGATGTACTCCACCGATGCTTTTAAAATAGTTCCTTTGTTCCAGCGCATATCACTGCAGAATGTAGAGATAACCTTTTCACAATTGTGCATGTCAGCAGAATTCATAAGAACTTACAAAATCTTTTACATTAATATGAAATAATGATTTACATGACTATTATTCACTCTTAGATATTATTGCTTCTGAATGGAAATTTTAATAGAATAGTTAAGAAGCCCTTATATAGTAAAATTAATCCCAGAATGAAAATAAGTGTCAAAAGAAAGTAATAAAGTGACTTTTTGTGGGAGAGCTAAATGCAATATCATGATTCTACCATTACAGTTTTTATATTTTTAGTGAAAATTGCTTTTATTATTAACTCTGAGATTAAAATCTATGTGCAGTATTTCTGCATTAATGAACTAGGAAATATACATTACTGAGGACTTAAGCCTAAATTTTTAAAGATCATTTTGAATATACTACTTCTTTTACCTGACTCTACTAATGAGGTTGCTTTTATGCTTGTAGAGAAAAAATGATCTGTGCTGAATGCCACTCCTCATTGATGACAGACCAGAAAAATCACACTTTCATAACCCTAAGGACTAGGGAATGACAAAAATCATGTCCAAAAATCTTGAAACAATTTAAAACACAAGTTAAAATCTATAGCTACATGCAGACCCCAACTCAAAATAAAAGCTTTGTAAAACAATTAGATTAAATCTGTGCATCATTCAGGAAATCATGGCTGTAAGTTCCACCTTACAAGCAGCCTCACTAGCAACAGAACACTTGTTCAAATTAAACTGTCCAAGACTTTCATGTAACCATTTATCAATCATACATTCCTTTAAGTAAGGTCTTGGAACAATAACGAATTTTGCTAAAAATTTTTAATTTCTATTAATTTCAGTATTTTACGATACACAATGGGTTCACTGCATTAAATATACAGTTAAATGGGCTCTATCCAAACTATCTACTTCACTGCAAGTTGCTTCGGCTGAGCAGAAGGTTGGTCAAGATTCTGGTCCCAAACCAACACAAAGCTGTTTTAAGAGCAAGTAAGAATCTGATGTTGGGAGGGACAAGCATTTTTTCAATACCTCTTCCAAAGACATATATTTACATGCTGTCATTTATGGAGAAAAAAAATATGCCCAGCTATTATCACTTTCCCTTATTCATAAAATCATAGAATATGCTGAGTTGGAAAGCACCCACCATCCAACTCCTGGCCTTACACAGGACACTCCAAGTCACACCATGTGCCTGAGAGCATTGTCCAAGCACTTGAACTCTGCCAGGCATGGAGCTATAACCACTTCCCTGGAGAACCTGTTTCCAGTGCTCAGCTACCCACTGGGTGAAAACCTTTTCCTGATTTCCAACCTAACCCTTCCCTGACTCAGCCTCATGTCATTTTCTTGAGTCCCATCACTGGTCACAAGAGTGAAGAGATCAGTGCCTGCCCCTGCACTTCCCCTCATGAGGCTGAGCACCTTTAGAGATTTCTGCAGTTATTTATCTCCTGAAGGTACAGTGCAAAAGCCAGGCAGGTACAGGATTTAGGGACCCAGACCACCCAGATTCTCCAGATGCTTTACTGTGGACAAAACTTTATGGAGCTGGTAACTTTAAAACACTAAGAAGCAAAGGCAAAATTAGTTGTGATAAAGCATCACAGTGTTTAACCATGCCACAGAATTCAGATAATTTTCTAGAGATTTGGGAGTAACATTTTTTTGGGTGATCCAAGAGTGCTCAAATTCAAATGTCAGTTATTTCTGGACAACACACAAACTGTGAGGCTCCTGAATACAGGGACCTCACCTCCTCTCAGTGCTGCAGGCCAGAAATGCACTGCTTTTGGGATTAAAGGTTGAGGAGTTTGGAGAGAAAATAATTGTTGTCTACAACCCTACTGTCTTGGGTACGTATTCTGATTTAGATATTATTGCCTGGTCAAAAGGCTAGAGCAGAGGTGGGACTGGGAGCCAAGAGCAGCATACACCTCTCCCATGATGATGGCTGAATCATCTCTTGGCAGTGCCTCTGCCTTCTCCTTCCTGTCCCTGTACCTCTTGAGCAGGTGGAAGGACAGAATTTCTTGCCAGCATCCCATAGGCACCCTCCTAGGAGAGGACATTCTCCTCTCAAATGGCTACCTATGTTCAAACTGTAAAGGTTAGGGAAGCTTTTAGCATGCATATTGTCTGGACAATCTTTCACTGCCATCACCATGTCACAGTTTCATTTCCACCACACCTTTTTAGAAAGTTAGGTAAAAATACTGAGAGTTCTCTGTTTATGACTAAATTGCAGTGGAGTTTGAAAGGCAGTCAAGTGTCTGTCTATCTATGCCAGACCACTCATGAATAAAGAAGCTAAATGAAATAAATAAAGTTAGCAGGACAAGAACTTTTCAAACAGGGATTCTCCACTCCCATCTCAGATATGAGCTATATATGCTATATGAAGAAACACAATCTGCCTTGATCAGGAGGTTAGTCTCTAATAAGTGCTAAAAACAAAACTAAGACAGGTTTGAACTGATGGTCCAAACCTAAAGATATAGTACTATGAAATTAGGAATAAACCCCTTGCTGGAAAAATGGAAATAATTGAGGAAATGTAACAGCAGAAAAGTTTGAATATATCACATATTTAGAAAATATTTCATAGTGTTTTAACAAAAAAAATTCATTAATTCAAAATAAGACAAAATTATGTTTGGTTGATTTTTCTGATTGACATATGAATAAGTCAAATATTCATGATTCTATTTGGAATATTTCTTGAGGAAATTCATTTGTGTTACACTTCATATAATCTTGTGATATGGCTTACTTTTAGTTCATGTTTCCCTGATAGTTTTGGTTTTTATTTCTATGCCAATGTTTTTTCATAATTTTGAATAAATCTTCACTGAAAGATTGATGCCTGGATTCAAACTGCCAGAGAGATGGACCTGGTCAGCTTTTGCATGAGATACATATGGATAGTTATCTGTTGTGGTAATATTTACAGATCTGAGAGGAAAAACTGTAAAGGAGAGCTAGGAAAAAAATGCAGAGGTCATTATTGTTATTTAAGAGACTGTTCTTTAACCTGTGTACACATGTGTATGTGTCTGTGCATGTGTGTGTACCCCACATATGGTTCTACATCACTTCTCATATGTACATACACTGGTTAAATGAAGAATATTCTTATTAAATGAAGAATATTGAAGTTGAACCTTCCAGTGTTTGAAGGCAACATAGCAAAGGAACAGCTGATCACCTTAGAAGTCAACATGTATTTCACTTTGTGTCTCTCTTTACCAGGACCTAAGGAAAATCCTGAAGGTGTCTGTGCTGATTCTGCATCACAGGCACTCTTCACTCATTGCAGCCCAGAGACAGCAGTCACAGGACATTGCTGCAGAGCAGCAGAGGCTCTGTGCAGATGTGCAGGGCTGGAAGAGCAACAATGCAACTGGTGAAGATGAAGGTAAATTTGGGCTGGTAAAGGTAGAGGTATGCAGGAGATTCCTGCATACCAATAGTCTGAAGCGCATCTAGCTCTACATAGTAGGCAGCCAAGCAGATTCATCTATGATGGGAAGAAAAATCAACATTTGAAAATGGATTAACTCAAAGCACAAGAAGTGCATAAAAGGAATTCAGAAATTCTCTGATCGGTTATTTGGTTTCTGTTATTTCTCTGAAAACAATGAATTCTGAATTGGATGTAAATAAAACTGCCTGAAAAGTCATAAAAATGTCACTAGGAAATTGTAGTTTTTGCTTTTTAGAGATTTGTAGATTACACTTAGAAATAAAAACTGAAATGGAAAGCCCTACAAAGACATTTTTAGAAATTGAGGAATCACTAGCAGTTGTTACTAATTTAATTGGAAGTTTCTGTATGAAAACAGACAAAATACTTGCATTCTTAACTGTTTTGATTCGAAAAACTTAGCTATAGACACACCAATCTTCAGATATGGCAGGAATTATTTTCTTCATTTTGATCTTTCAGTTCTATTTATTTGCTTTGGTCTGGGTTTTTTTTTTTTTTGGTTTTTTGGTGGTTTTTTGTTGTTATTGTTTTGGCATTTGTTTTCTTAGTCATTATTTTTATTAAATGCATGCATGGCACCATCCTGTAAATTCTGAAATACATGGGAAATTTTACATTCAAGCCAAGTCATTTGAGAGCAGTAAGATATTTTGCCAGTTCGGTCATCAGAAATGGCCTCTGCAAAGGAGGATTGCTTCTTTGTTCCTGTGTGTCCATGTGGTAGAGTAATTTGAAGTTTCTAGCAATCCACAGATATGTTAGTGAGTTTAATTAACAGAGGCCAATAAAAATAATAACATGTTAATGGAAAATTTAAAAAAAAATTAAAAAACACATTATGTTTTATTAGTTTCTGACTCCTGTCCCCTCTTAACTTTATCATCTGAATCTCTCTACAAAACTCAAATGCCCAGAAGAAAACATGTAACTCTCACCAAGTAGAGTTTCCTATATTGGATAAACAAAACATGGAAAAGAGACTGATCTTCAGCTCATTTCCATTAATTTAACTTTGTTGAAGTCAAAGGAGCTTCACTAGTTTACAGAAGTTGAACTCCTGTAAGAAGGATGGAAGGATGGGAGCATGTGGTCATCTAAGATTAGAACTAATTAGTAAAAGCAGTGTTTGAGAGAGTGTGATAGTTACAGAGTTTGCCAGACACAGGCCAGTTACTAATAACAAATACATTTGCAAAGCTGAAACTGTTTGCAGAACATTTCTCTCCCTGTTTCTGAGAAATCAGCTTTAAACTAAAGAAATTGGCTCAGAGAAGTACTTGGAAGGACTTTGTACTTGTTTTGAGGACTTGCACAATTGCAAAGTGTTTTATTCTGAAAGAGGCAGCAAGTTTCCACTTTATAACACCTGAGTGTACACAAGCTTTTCCTTTGCAAGGAATGTGTCTGTGCTGGCTGCTAGAGGGTCTGTCCACAGACAGCACAGAGGTCAGGCACTGGTAGATGCAGAGAGCAGAAAGGAAAGAGTGAGAGCAACCCACTGCTTCTGCCCAAATCCTCAGCAGTTCTCTCAACATTCCAGCTCCACAACATTAATAGAATTCTTTTTTCTCATTTAGCTTTCTGGGAATTAAAGTCCAACTACCATTAAACTGTTCTTGTGTAGGCATGGCCAGACTCCATCACAATAAGGAATCCTGTTAACCACCTAAAAGGTGGATTCTGAAAGGTTGAACACAAATAGAAAGGCAGGTATAATTAAAGGAGCGGGTTATGAGTGTTTCAGCAAAATATGACTGAGTATTTCTGGCATTTTTAAATTCTATTTTTGAATTTTGTTCTTTAAAACCGATTTGCATTTCTGAATCATCTAGCACTTGGATATCTAAGCATTGAAAGTTAAACAAAAGAGTCATAGCTCTTTGTAACTTACACTTATCTTCATTTTCTAATGCTGATGAAGTGAACTTAAAACACCCATTCATTTATGCAATGTAATCCACACTTTTCATCATTAAATTAAGAAAAAAAGAAAAAAAGTGCAAAGAATAGGGGTTTAATCCAGTCAAAAGAAAGTCCCTGCAGAAGCTCTGCAGGAGCCAAACAAGCTCACTACATAACCAACAAAACAAAAGTGAAATAAAAATCCCACACAGCACTTCTAAGAAAAATAAATCACAAAAGGTTTCCAAATGGCATAAAAAAATGTCCTTTTCTGTTTCTGATTCTGAATGTAATCTTCTTGAAGCAAGCCATCTGGGACAGGCATGCTAACCACAGTGGCTTAGTTATAGTAGTATTTGCTCTTCAATGCAGAGGCTGATTTTCTTCACTGTCATTAGCCTAAGCATCAGTAAGCTTTCTCCTTTTACAACTAAGTTTCCACTTGAGGAAGAATCTTCTAAAATCAATATGAGGCAAAAATGCTATGTGTGATAAAATGTTACAGATAAAGTACTGTAAGCCATGATAAATCTCTTTCTTTCAAAGAAGAGGGGGCAGGCTGGGGGCACAGTAAGGTGTTATGAAGTAAAAAGCAAGAACTGAAAGAGAGAATAAGGATGCTGAGTTATGATTTGGCAAAACAAGGCCATACCAAACGGTAATAATAATGTTGTTCTGCTCAGCCAATAAAACAACAGGTTCAAATTAATATATTTCTGCCTAAAAATACAAATACAAAAAAAAAAAAAAAAACAAAAAACAAACAAAAAAAAAAAAAAAACAAACCCACTAGTTACATTCTTTGCATTAATTTATCCTTGCACTAAGCTATAGAAAAATTGTGTTGCAAACTGGTTTTTCAAAAGCCCTGCAGGTTTTGATGCCTTTTTTTTTCTTAGCACCAACTTAAAAGCTTTTCAGTAGGTCTGCTTTCCAAAGGAGTACTGATTATCAGCTTTTGAAGAAAGCAGCCTTCAGAATGTGAGATGCTTGAGTTCACTTTGTGCTTTTGTAAACATAAACCACTCTGGGTCTGGTCACACTGCTGAACTCAGTCATGGGTTTGCAAACTAAAACAAGATAAGGCAATCATTTCAGAATCTATACCTGAAACTTTTTCATCAGGCAACAACACCAAAAACTGAGGGTGAAGTCCATCATCCACTTACTGAAGCAAAACTGCAGGTCAAGGTAAATCATTTTAAGAAAAGCTTAAATGATTACTCTAGGTATTAATGTTTTGATTAAGTTCACAAAGTCAACCTGAATCCAGACCAAAACATGTAGGTGAAACACCTTTATAGGCAATCAAAAAGTGCAACTGCAATTTGTACCCCATGCCCATCTCTAATTGCAGTATTACCAGTTTCTATTTTTGCTTTATAGCTGCAAACCAACAGTGCCATCCACTGTTTTTCTGAGAAATCTTTCAATTACTTGCCCAAATGGTATTGAATACTGAAAGATGCACCGGCAAAATTAAAACACTTCTATCAGTTTCTGCTTCAATGGATCACCAAAACTTTATTTAGGTAGTTCAAGTGCTTTTTAATTCAGTTTTAACACCTAATTCCATATTAATAACAAAAAAACATGCCCATTTATCCAATCTTTGGTGGATGCTACAGAAGGCTCTGAGTTTGTGAATTCTCTAAAATGGATGGAGTATGTTAACTTTCTCTCTGGTGGCTTCACTTCAAATAAAACCAACCTTCTACTTGTGTAAGCCTCACACAGCTTTGTATTGTTGCAGAAATCCTTAATGTAATCAAAAGTTTCTTAGTCCTAAGGTTAAAAAAGCTGAAATATCAATAGATGTTTTCATTTGAAGTATCATGCACATCTGTATTGACATGCAAATGACAAAGACAAAATCTGTATAATCAATTTTATGCAAGTTACAATCATGATGCTGCATTGTCTTAAGTCTTCCCTGAGTGACAAGAGAAATCTAAGGCTAAAGTTCTGCATTAAAAATCACTCTGAATTGCTATTGTTAATCCTGCAATGGGCTTTTCTCCAAGACAGCTTTTTTCCTGTTGATGACAAATATAAGCTTTAAGGGAATGCACATATAGTTCAAGCAATATGCATTTTGTGTTTCTGTAAGTATATGCATTAGTATAAAATGATATTATTATAGCAATTATAGCAATTATTACTTTTATCCTTGCATTTTAGGACTGGTGCTTTCCCTGCAATGAGTTGAGGACTTTTGAAAAATGCTCAGTCTACAGACTCTTAAATTGATTTTTTTCTCTCTTAGTCTGAGGGCAGACAGTGGCAACATAAATTTTGTGTTATCCCACTAGAGGGCCATGGCAAGAGCTGAAAGCACCACTACTTCCTTCTCCAGAGACACCACACAATTGTGCTCAGGGACAGAGAGATGGACTTTCTGTTAGTTGGCTTTGTTTGGTTTTTTGTTTGTTTGTTTGTTTTCCCTTTAAGTGGCAGTTTTTCTTAAACACCCTGAAATTGCTTTCACATTATTATGCTTCCACATAAGTTTTTCAACAGGCACAAAAAAACCTGTCAAAGGTTTGTTACTTCAACAGCCTGATCTGAGCCAGTGACCTGGTATGGAAGATTTTGTATCCCATTTCTCAATCCTATAGCCAGTATTCACAACTGTCTCTTTTCTCCTGCATTAATACTATAAACATTATTATAGGAAAGACAGTTGAACTCACGGATCATTAGACTTGGGGATGAGTGTGCCAAGCTCCTTGATTCGGTAATTAATATTATACCTTCTTCTTCTCTCAACTGTTAAAAAGAAACATTTACTATTTTTACACTGAAATATTTTTGGAGTAATTACACATAAAACATTTTAATTAGTTAAAAACATGTTAGTCAATATTCAGAAAAAATCTTCCTCAAATAGCAGTCCCAACATGAGCTCCTATCTGTCTCTGACTTACTCTCAGGACAAACTCTATCATTAGTACCATCTGTATCTTACCTGAACTACAGGGTTTTCCTCCATTTAGAATTCAATTTCTAGAGAATGAAATAGTCATATATTGTCCAAATGTGACCTAACATTTCTTTTTTCCTGATATTTATATATTCTCTCTCCACCATGCTCCCACAGAACAGAGATTTCAGCTTAGTGGAGTCTTGCTGGTGACTCCAACAGGGATACAAGACAATTCACCCAGCAACTGATATTTTGGCAGAGCTCCTGTTCCAAATCACAAGGTAACAGCTTCATTATCCCTTATTTACAATTATCAGCATTTAAACCGACAGAGAGTACATAACTACAGCTGTATCCCCTCACTGCAACAGAGCAAGATTATGTCCCAAAACCACTTCACACCTTTCCTTTGGTGATGGACAGCACAAAAAATATTTATGATCATTTTTAAAAAATAGAGAAAATGAAAAAAAACACCATGTTTGGAGATGTACACTTAAAGTCTAATGGCCTGATTTTGAATATAAACACAAAAAGCCCAGTAGAGCTAAGTTATAAGTGTTCAGCCAAGGGCATCCTAGTGGGTCTTCCAAGGCTGACTTCAATCTTCTCATAGTCATATGAGCATGTCACTTTCAGTCTCACCCCCACCACCTGGATCACTTTTAGTCCTCTTCTTCCTGTATATAAAATGGTTTGCTTCCTGTCTGTGTGAGGCTCCTCAGTTTGTGCAGCAGTCAGTTATTTCCTCCCTAGCAGGCTCAAGCTCCAGGAACAACCTGAGTGTTATTATTTACTCTGATTATTTACTCTACCTTGGTGGGATGCATTATCTTGTCTTGTTTTCTATAGAAACAGGAATTTCACTTAACAAATTAAAGTATCTCAGTTTTTTTGGTGATGATTCGCAAATTCAGAAGACAGGGTTATAATCCTCCTGAGTGTACTGCTCAGTGAGCCCCTGCATTGCATTTGAATGAATGTGCTGGATCTTGTAGGAGAGCCCAGTGTACAAAAACACAGAGCAACTGGAAAATTTAAAAGGTATATTTCAGTTGTGTTGGCAAAATAATGGCATGACAAAGAAAATTGAAGAATTTGCTTTAACTATACTGTCCTATGGCATAACAGCTGTTGCTCAATTAATATTTACACTGTAGAAAACTCTGTAAGATATTCATCAAAAAGTAGTCAACTAAGCATTAGCTATAAAACAAGGCAATGAAAAGATATCCTTACAAGTGAACACTTGCATAACTCTTTTTTCTTTGTATTTTTGCATTTTTTTCCTGAAAAGAAACTTCCAGTGGTTGTGTCAATGAGTTAGAAAGGGAGATTTTTTTAAGCTTGGATACATGTTGCAATAGAACTTTCCTGATGTGCGTCTGTAACCTTTCCAGAGATATCCTGAGTTATCAGTAATATTTCAAAAATCAAATTATACATAAGCCAAATCAGAAAATTCTTTTTCAAACTGCATGCACAGGATTATAATATAACATTCTTTTTTTGGAAGGAAAAAACCCCAAAGTTAAGAAACATTAGGTAGGCAATGTTTTAAACTCTGTCTGTTGCATGAAGGGGTTCCACTTCTTAAATTGAACTCCCTTTTCATGGTTTCATTCAATATACAGTCCTTCAAAAGGAATATTTTTGCAGTGCCTTTATTACTCCTTGTTATAAGAATGTACAAAAACATTTCTGTGAAATGTAGGCCTTAATTCAGCCTGAAAATTGAAAGTTTGTATCATTCCGATCAACTTTCAAAAACTGATTTTCAGACCATCACTAAGAAACCTGATCCCCATAAAAGAGTGAATCACACTGATGAAGCCTTTATATGCAATGAGTGATTGTGTCCAAGCCTTTAGATAGCAGAGCTATGTCCAGAGAGCCTTTGAGCTCTGCAGGGTACACCTGGATGCTGCCTGTCTGCAGTGCCCTTCAGTTTAGTGGCCAGTGGTGAGGGAAAGTTCTCCTACATTTCATTTGGGATCACAAAGGACTGTGATAAGCCAAAGCAAACAGCAAACAGTAAGACATGGCATCCCTAATGTATCTATGATGAGCCTCTCTTTCCCCTTGTAGCTCCAGATAACTCCTACCCACCCCTTTTCTTAGTCCAGCAAAACTCCCCATTTCTGCCCTAACAGGACAGAGAGCAGCTGCACTGGCATTTCAGAGATTACGTCCTAGCAACACGTCTCAAAATCTTCATGGTCTGCCTGTAACCCACAAAAAAAATTACAGACAGATATAAGGATGCCTTCTGGAAATTCCAAGTAGCAGAATATTGTCCACAGTGATTGCTAGCACATTGTGCCAGTGGATGTATACTGTCAGGTATGTAATTTCATGCAAGTAAATCCATAAATCCCTCTTTGATTACTGGAAATCAAATAGCCAGAGAAATAAGACAGAAGTAAGATAATAAAGATATAAATAGTGGCTATTTACTAATTACTAATTTAGGTTTAAATTCATAGAATATCTCAAGTTGGAAGTGATTCATAAGGATCATTGAATCCAACTCCCATACTATTTCTGTTGGAAGAACTGGAAAGGAGAACTTGAAAATTTTAACTACTTTATTCAACACTTTCCAAAAAGAATCCTGCAGCCTTTTTCTTTCAAATTATGCTTTAGAGGGAAAAATTGTGTAATTTTATAGGCAATCTCCCAGTAATGAAACTGATGGGGTTTTCTTTTCTATTCTATATAAACTAAAATATTTTTTATTTTTGTAATTCTAATATTTAGACACCGAACTATGAATTTCACTGTTCTAAGACTGTTCCTCTAAAACCAACATGCCTATCATCTGCACATATCTGCACTGTTGTCCATATAACTTTAAGAGGTTAGCAACCTCTTAGAAGTTGTCTGATACAATTTTTTTTCCTACCCCATCACCCATAAAGAGATACAGCCTCTTGCTTTGGCATTTCAGTAAATAAGGTGTGAAGACTGAATTTTCAGTGTTGTTTTTCTCATAACCTGCTTCCTTCTTGTCTGCTTTGCACTGTAGTTCTTAGAGAAAACATCAAGTCAAGTGTGCTACTATGAAAAAATAATAGCAGGAGATTATATGGAAATAAATTAATTGCAATATGCAAAGTATTTTGAAAGACAAAAGTCAGAGGCATAAATTAATTTCAAGAAAGAAAACTTTATGGTCAGCTGCTTTTGTAGTCTGAATTGGCCTGCTGAGAGGCTGGTCTAGAAGAAGAGCAGAGATGTGGTAGCTAATGTATCATGGTTTTTCATTCTCCATACATTCCATTTAATGAGATGGAAGATGAACATATACTTACTGAGATTGTGGTTATCCTTTTTTTGTCTCTCCTTTGCCATTGCTCTTGTATCTGCTTCTGACAGAAAGTAACATTTATTAAAATAGTCCTTAAAATGCAATTCCAGTACTTCTTTCATCTTCTGAAAATGGCCTCTTGTCACAGAGACCAGCTTTCCAGTCCTTTTACTGCATTACTTTTTTTATTATTAAAACAGATCATAGACAAATCTTTATTCTACCAGTACTAAATTTTAAGCAAGTCTGGCAGGTTGCTTAACATTTTTTATGGCACTTTTTTAAAATCTAAGAATATAGAAATGCTATGGAGGGGTATTTTTGTCCAATTTCCTGTATTTTACATCAGGATAAAACTTGCAATACACTAAGGTGAATATGGATTTTCTATATCCCATAATGCAAGAGTTAATCAGATTTGTAAGATATTGAATAAACTCATTGTTTCCTCTGAGTGACATTAACAAACTGTACATGATTTTTAGCATTCTTTGGATTAATTGAATGTAACTTTTAAAGTTCGTAATCCACTAATATAGCTTTACCTTGAATAGCCTTATTGTAAAGTTTTAAAAGGACTATTTGTTCTACCCTGGAACAAATTTAATGGATGATAATAATTTATATTGTTGGTCAGAAGCCAACATGTGGAAGAATATACTGTTTTCTAAAATATTAAGGTTTTTTAGAAGCACAATGTTCATAAAAACAGGAGCAAATAGAGGGTTTCTGAATTTCTAAAGAGAAGAACAGAAAGAAAACACTTCTCATTTATCTTTGTTCTTTTCCTTAAATGAAACCAGAGACTGAAAATTCTCAGGAATTTAATTATGGATATCTTTTTCATGGATAAGATTCAACTTTTAAGACACACACCATTACTTATGCAGTTATATACTAAAATCTCAGAGTTTTTACCTGTGAGCTCCCTTTTTACTGGTAGATTAGCTGGGCAAGAAGCATTTGTGAGACCCATATTAGCTGGTGCCATTCCCTGGTCACTGTTATATATATCCAAAATGCTGCTAGATAGCTTGAGGGGTAAGAAAGGAAAGAAGAATAAGGAAAAAAAATTAAAATAAGTAAAAGACTTAAAAGATTTTTTAAAAAAAAACAATGCATGCAACGAGAAAATATCTTTGGATATGAGTCTGGTTTTCTTTAGAAGGAGTATATGTACATATATCTAAATGGAAGGATTCCTGTTATGCAATATTAACTAAAATTGAAAGCAAAGAGTCACTGTCTGCTGTTTTTCTATAGGTGCCATTTGTGTGGGCTTCAGATCTACAGTGTGGGCTTGAGATCTACAGTTGCTTCCAAATTCTATTTTCTAAATCCAATGTTGCCATGTCTGCACTTCAAATATCCATTAGGTTGAAAGTCAACTTTACCACAGTGATTTTGACCATACTCTCCAGTATGATTTTTTTTAACCACAACTCTAAACTCTGAATTGGTACCTCATACAGGGCCTGGTCCAGCAATATATTCAGGGACCCAGTCATATATAATAGTTAAAATTAGAGTGGACAGTACATCACAGAATATACTTTGAAGAAAGGAACTGTACTGTTATCAGGATAGACCAGATAACCTAATGGTTTTAAGATGAATAATGTATAATCATGTATACCAGTATCCTTATTCCCTTAAAAAATATAATATAATATTATTTAAATAAGCCCATAGAATGCACACTAAGAAAAGTAAGGATAAAGTATGTGGATTTCAGGTAATTGTACAATTACTTTTATTTGAATAACTTTACACATATGAGATAACTGTAAAATATGCAGAAGTTTACTGGAGAGAAGTCCAGGCTTTGCTCAGTTCCTATGACCCTATGACCAACCTTTCAGCATTGATCCTTTGCAGTAAAAGAAAAACTTTTTTGGCTTTTTTAATCACGCATATAAAATTTGTACTGACATCTTTGGGGTTTTTTTGTGGTCAACACTCAAGGACTTAGAAACTGAGTTTGGGTCCACATGGCCAAGAGAAAATAAATCCAAAAGTAAAAAAAGAAAAACACCAAAAACCCCAAAAGGATTAAAAAGTGCGTGAAAAATATGTGGATACAAACACTGACTTGAGACAGTAAAGCATGAAAAGAAATTAGAGTTATTTAAGAAAATTGTTTTTCATAGACAAGAAAATGTGTTTTTATAGATTTGCCCATCAGCTATGGATCCTGAAACAACCTGGAATTTTCCAGGCAGGTCATCAAGACACCAGCCATAGGTCTGCTGGGAATCAGACTCTTGTAATTTCTCATTTGTCAGACTCTTGTAATTTCTCTTTTTGTAGCGACTGTGAGCTTCATCACAAGTTACTGTGAATGGAGACAATTTTCCCAATTACATGCTCAGTGTGAAGTTTTTCCATGGCAGTGCTCCCTGTATTTTACATTAAAACTGGAATTTTAAACTAGCTTTATTTTTAGATAATGATTTTGTTAAATTAACTAATAACTTTACTAGATAATCTGAGAATCAAGTTTGAGGTAAAGTCTCCCAGTTCTATTACAAACTGTGAAATGAAGCAATCAGAATTCTTACTGAACACATATAAGTAACATGCTCATTTTTAAACAAGAGCTTTATTACTTAGGAAAACTGAAAATTCTTGAATACCATTATAAATCACAACACCAAGTCAGTTTTAAAAATCTGCTTATACATTTGATCTCTCAATGAAAATACTTTTTTAAAGAATGTTTGGAATTCAGATGAGTATTACTCAGAACAAGCTATGTTTAAGATCCAGGATTTGAATGCTAAGAGCATTCTCACATTAGGTACCTTTGTTTCATTTCAGGGGTAAACTGACAAGTGTTACAGAAGTCACTGCAGTTTTACCTGTGCATTTTCTTTGTTCCAGTGATAGGAACAAAGACATTACAAGAGTGAACTCATATTAGCTCTCATCATATTTAATTACTTCCTACATTCATGTAAATGAATTTCCTTTATTCAAATGATATATAAACAGAATGACATAAAAAATTGAGAGTCAATGTGACTCCTCCACTCCTGCACATCCAGGTTCCAGGGGACCTTGGCAAGGCTGTTATATGACTTAGGCTACTGTTTTTGTGAAGTGCTAGGAAATAGTAACCACTGATAATAATATAATTAATAAATAATCTAACAAATGAGAAATACATATCTGTCATTCTTTGCATAGTTCACACAGTTCACATATTGAACTTGCATAGTTCACACAGTTCACATATTGAACTTATGTACACAGCCTGGCTGTGTACATAAGTTCAATAATTTGCATGACACTGGTGACAATCTTCAATTTAGTAGATCATCAATGCCATTAATGAAAAAAACAGGCATGTAAACAACAGGTTGACGCAAACATGAGATACTTAATTGATTAGTTCTAATTTTCAGACAGAATTTTAAATTTATCCTTGAAAGATAGTTAAATTTCTAAAGTCTATTCACAAAGGTGTGAATTTAAATAACAATTTCCAAATCCAAGAGAAAATTTCATGACTGGCTAATTTAGCTGGCAAGGAAAAAATAATACCAGGACACCTCAAAGTTCAAAATTGTGTGACGGTTCAAAAGAGCATGAAGAAATTCAACTTAAAACCACAGACAGACATTTCAGCTGAGTTCAATTGCACAGTTGGTAAAGGCCATTCCATACAACTGCCAGACAATCCCTTCCTTGCCCCACTGGTGATGCTGTGCCTGATGCACCCCAGGACACAGGAGGCCCTCCTGGCTGCCAGGGCACTGCTGACTCACATTCAGCTGGCCATCAACCAGGACCCCCAGGCCCCTTCCTGCAGCACTGCTTTCCACCATCCCATTCCTCAGTTTGCACACACGTGCGGGGTTTCCCCATCCCAGGTGCAGAATTCAAGACTTGTTTTTGTTAAACTTCATTCACTGACTGTCCAGCCCCCTAATTTGTCTGTTTGCAGAGCATCTCTGCTGAATGTACCATACCACCTTTGTTTCATGCAGATGCTCTCTAGCATTCTTCCTCTTGTCATTTCACAATATTTACCAGCCATTAGGAAAACAGAACCACCACTCCATATGGAGATGATGAAAATGAAGCCCAAACCAAAGTCATTTAACTACTGATGACTACAATCCTATCATCTCACTGATTAGAAGGATTCACATTAACGTTAATCCAGAAGGAATGGGCAGGGAAGAAGAGACAGCGGGGTAGCTCTGTATTTTAGGGAGTGTTTTGATTAGCTAGAGCTTAATGATGGGGATGCTAAGGTTCAATGTTTTTGGAAAAGAATCAAGGGGAAGGCCAGCAAGATAGTTTTCCTAGTTGGACTTTGTTACAGACCGCCCAAGCAGGATGAAGAGGCAACTGAAATTTTCTATAAGCAGCTGAGAGAAGTCTTGCCCTTGTTCCCAAGGGGGACTTCAACTTACCAGAGGTTGTCTGGAAGTACAACAGCCTAAAGGAAACAACAGTGCAGAAGATCCCTGGAATGTGTGACAGCTAACTTCCTGACACAGCTGGTAAGCAAACCAGCTAGGGAAGGTGACTGATGGATCTGCTGTTTGTGAACAGACAAGCACTTGTACAGATTTGACCGGTGGAGGCCACCTTGGGCACAGCGATCATGAAGCAATAAAGTTTTTGAGTCTTGGGGAAGTGAGGAGAGGGGTCAGCAAGACTTGGATTTTCAGAGGGCAGACTTTGGCGTGTTCAGGAGACTGGTTGAGGCAGTCCTGAAGGGGAAAGGAGTCCAGAAAGGCAGTACCATGAAGGAAATGTTAAAGGAGCAGGAGCAAGACATCGTCATGTGTGAAAAGATGAGCCAATGAGGACGACTGGCCTGGCTGAACAGAGAGCTTTGGCTGGAACTGAGGGGAGAAAAGCATAGCAGAAGAAGAGGCAGGCAACTCAAGAGGAGGACAGCAACGATGTTGTGAGATTATACAGGGAGAAAATAAGAAGGACCAAAACCTAATTAGAACTTAATCTGGCCACTGCTGTAAAAGACAATGAAAAATGATTCTATAACAAAAAGAGGGATAAGGAGAATCCCCCTGTTTGCATTGGATGTGGAAGAAAATACAGTGACAAAGGATGAGGAAAAGGCTGAAGTGCTTAATGCCTTCTTTACCCCAGTCTTTAAGAGCAGTACTACTTGTTCCTTGGGTACCCAGCTACCCAACCTGGGAGACACAGCAGAATGAAGACCTCAGAAGCCAAGAGAAATGGTGAGCAACCTGCTCCACCACTCAGATATACACAGGTTCATGAGCCACAGAGGATGCACCTGAGGGCCCTGAGGGAGCTGGCAGAGGACCTCACTGAGCCATCTTGAGTCATTTACCAGAAGTCCTGACTAACTGAGGAGGTCACAGTTATTGGAGTAAATGTGATGCCCACCTACAAGGTGGGACAGAAGGAAGATGGAGGAACTACAGGCCTGTCAACTTGACACATGCGACAAGAAATGTTATGGAAAGTTAATGCCAATTGCACTATCAACTGTCTCTTTCTTCTGTGAATTCAGTAGAAATCTGAATTATATTGCAATGGCCACTATGACAGATAAGTGGCTTTGTCGATGTGGCCACTGGTGGTCTCCCTTTTGCACACTCATTCATAGTTAACACAAAAATCTGCTATGAATTAGTGTGCAAGGAATAATTCTCAGTGTTGGGATTCTGGATCAGGAGAAGAAATAGAGATTGATAAATATGACCTGTTTTGGACACCAAAACAGTGTGTCAAAATGGACTGAATGATCTCTGTCTCTTATTCTTGACTCTGAAGAAAGTTTGGGGTGAATGTTGCAGGTCTCCCATATGTACCTTCTCAGGAAATCTCACTGGGCTCCTAATGTGAAAATCTCCAAATAAACTTTTACTTTAAAAATCACATAAGAAAGACTTCCTTTAAAATTAATACATTTTCTGATTACTAGAGACTTTTATAATATACAGTTAAAAAATGTGTCAAAGTATTTTGTTGAAACTGTCTACCTGAATTTGCTCTGCATTGATATCAAGTATAGAAAGTTCC